GTGGGTTACAACATTTAAGGCATAAGAAGACCACCTAGAGACTATGTGGTTCCTATTGGGGATTTTCTATTTGTGGTGGGGGTATTGCCAAAATTTTTAATTCACTTCCTTTCTAATTTTAGGGTAGAGCTTCACTTCATGGATCCCTTGTACTTGGGTGAAACTAAGTGACTAATTCCTGCCAGAGAGTTGAGAATTCAAATCATGAGCTTAGCTTTCAGGGGAGAGTAATCCATTTCTGTTACTACAGGTGGAAAAAGCCCTGTTCTCTCTCTCTGGCACACCAGGATTTGAGATGGTGGCCATTTCATCAGGCTGTGTCCCTCAAGCATCCAAAGACTGACTGCCTGAACATCCACTATTGACACACAGCGTGCCCAAGGACTACACATTTGTTGTTAGAAGCCACACATTTATTCAAACACATGAACATGCTCACATGCATACACCAAATCACTTACATACAAACATGAACACATTCCCATATAAACACAACCTGCTCCTAAGCTCACAAGCATACTCAAATTAACATACTCACACATGAATACATCATTCATACTTAACATTATTTTCATAACCTAGTGTGGTTAGTCCATTTTTGCTACATATGACAAAATACCTGAGATAATTATCTTAAAAGAAGGAAAGGGTTTTTTGTTGTTTGTTTGGTTCATGGTCTAAGAGGTTTCAGTCCATGTCACTTGATCCTGTTGCTTTGGGCCTGTGGGTGTCCAGTATATATATTATGGCAGGTGGCATAGGAAGTCTGTTTACCTCTTGGCAACCAGGAAGCAAAGAAACAGGAAGGGGCCAGGGTCCAAATATCCCTTCAAAGGCATCCATAAACTTAAGTATCTCCAAAAGCAAGGCCTTATCTCCAAATATAGCTACTACATCCCAATAGCACCTCAGGTTGGGGAGGAAGGTCCTGCAGGGGCTCAGACCCTAGGACACAGATTCAGGATCCTGGCAGTGGAAGAAGATGTGAGATGCAGTTGGGACAGTACACATGTTTTATCCAGAGATGGAAGCATCCTCGCCCCAAGTCTTTCCATAGACCTTTTTTATATGCAGGCCAAAGAAGGCGCAGTGCCAACAGGTTACATAGGTGAATGCATACAGCAGATATTTATGACCTTGAGTCCATATGCTGAATCAGGGTCATAAAAGATACTCATGACCTTGACTACATACTAAAACAGCTGGCTGAAAGTCTCTGTGAGGGAGCCTAATTATAGCCACCTTAGGTCTTCCATACACAAGCCTTCAATACGTGGGCCGTTGAGGAACACTCCAGATAGAAACCATTGCACTTTGTCCATTCTGATTTTAAATCATTACAGAAACTCAAAGTTTTTCAAATTGAGAACTGCTGGATTTTTCAGGTGATATCTGTCAATCAGCCCAAGTTACCTTATGGAGATTGGCTAGAAGACATCTGCTCTAAAAGGGGATTACAGGGAAAACAGTATTGTATGACACAAGTGCCATCAATAGTAAGTTCCACTGGCTCTTAGCAAGGTGAGCTTCTGGAGCCGCAAGTCTGCGACTGTGCGTGTATGGTGTCTCTCTCATTCAGCATGAGTTTTTCCATGTGTGGAAATGTTTTTCAGCCTAGAAAATCAAATGTCGTTTCTCTTGATTCCTCCTTTACCAAGAATATAGATGGAGTGTTGGACTTCTGTTTGCTGTTTCTCTTTGGAAAGTGTTGAGAGTGTTGTGGTTAAGAGAAGCAGATGAGTAAAGAGAAATAAAACAAAATTCAGAAGTAATAGATTATAATCAGTCTCATTTTCAATTGTTTGATCTTTACTTAAACCTAACTACATCTCATCTTTTTTCTCCACAAAGCAAATCTAGTCAGGTTTTGAATCCAGGTTTGGGAGGTTTGATAGCAGAAGCTCAGAAACTTGGATCCATTTCACAAATCTCTGTGAAATCAGGTGAACAAAGACAATCATTGTTCAACAGATACAGAATGCAGCATTACGATCTTATCCGTGGAATCGTTTGGAGGGAATTTGGCAAAAAATATGAAATATTATCTGAAATATAAAAACTAACAGTGAAAAAGGAGAAATTATCAGAGACTTATGCTGACATATTATTTGGGTGACATATAAAACTAAGAATTATGAACAAACATAAACATAAGTGGCAGTGAATTAATAGAACAAGCGCAACAAACAAAGAGATGTATGTTATGTCATAAGATAAAGTTCAAGAATGTGAGTAAAAGAAACTTTACCAACTTGTTTGGGAAATGGGTTATGTTAGAAAGTATGAAAAGTTAATAATAGTTAATATAAAAATAATAATGATTGATTTGTATCCCAGAGTGGATCCAAACAGGGATCCAAACCAAAACCACCATAAGAAATCATTTCACTGAGGATGGCTATGTTAACATTACTCAAAATGGAAAATAACACATTTTGGAAGTGATGCGGAGAAACTGAAACTCCCTTAACATTGCTGGTGGAAATTCGAATAGAACAGTTTGGTGGTTATTCAACAAGAACCACCATGTGATCCAGAAATTCCACTCCTGTGTATATACCCCAAAGAATTGAAAACAGGTACTTAAAACAAAGATCTGTACACATATGTTCACAGCAGCATGATTCACCATAGCTAAAGAGAGGAAACTAAACAAATATCCATCAGCAGATGAATGCAGAAACAAAATGAGTGTTATCTACATGACAGAATATTGTCAGCCTCAAGATGCTGGTATGCACTGATGTACAGAAATAGAAATAAAGATAGATATCGTATGTATTTATTGTCTCTACAAATTCACCTTCTTTGCTTGCTCTGTGATCATGGAGTTGGTCCTTGTAAATCTCTCTCCTTTTACAACAACAATGCTAAACCTTGTCTGGAGGGAATGCTGGGGGAAATAAGGAATCTGATTCATTATCAGAATTTATTTCCTTTTGTTAGGCAAGGAAACTGCACTCAGAAAGTTGTGTGAGTCCCACAGCAATAAGTGACAACTGGAGCTGAATTGTGTGTCTATTGCTGGGCTTTCCCTCTTCACCTGCTCTGCATCTTCCTTCCAAGGTGGCCCCTCTCTACTCTCTCCCAGATGAGAGCACACATCTGGAAATCCTCATTTCAGAGCCTGGTTTTCTTTCCCATTCCTCACCCTGACCTGTTGCCCCATCTTGGTTCCCTGCTGGCTCATCCCAAGTGGATCTCTATTCCAGCTCCTGAACAAGGACTTATGTTTCTATAGCATCTGACACACCTGCATTGGCGTGCTGAGTGTAGGTGTGCTCTCTTGGCTCAAGAAGGCACTGGAGTGGGGTCAAAGGTTTAACCCACTTATCCAGATGGCCAGTGGCAACTCTGAGTATGGAGAATGTGACACCAATCATCGCCTACTTAATAACCTACAACTGTAAGTTTCTAAGGTAAAAAAGGAAAGCAAATCACAGAAAGGTTCCTGACTTATCCAACACCATAAAGACATTCTCTAATAAAAACCTAGTGGGGTATGTGGGATTTGATTTTTTTGCCCCATCTAAAGAACATGTAATATTACTTTATGTTGTAATTTTTTTTAAAACCTCTTCTGGAGTAGTTTGTAATTATGACATAAATGGATTTATTATTTAGATATTCTTGTGAAAGTGCATCTTTATATTAAAATATATTGTGTTGGTTATCCTGAGTATGTTATTATTTTTATTAACACCTTTAATTTTACCATATTCTTGGACATTGTTATTAGCATCTTATGGGTTTTTTTGGGTTTTTTTTTAAGATGGGACTGGGGGCGTGGCTCAGTGGTAGAGTGCTGGCTGAGCTGGGTTCCATCCTCAGCATTGTAAATAAAGAACTTAATAAATAAGAAATAAAAGATTACATTGTGCTTGTTGACAAAAAGTAGAGATTGTCTCTCTCCTCCCTTTGCAGAGGTTCTCCTTTAGAGAACTAGTCCTAGAAATATTTCCTGTCTCCCTTTGATTCACATCTAAATCTTTAAAAAAGTGGTATAAGCTGCTTGCCAGCATTCCAGCCAGGAATGCATTTCTAAGCCTGAGTCATCTCTCTAAGATGTAAACCTTGAGGAAGACAGCGTCCCTATGTCCCTGTCACCTTGGGAGTCTGGCGCAGGCACCCTACTCTGAGCTATATCTACCTGCTTGTCATAGAGATGTGAGAAGTTTTGCTTTTCGTTGGGATAAAGGCAAGAGCTCGGACGACCACCTCGATTACCAGATGAACTCAGGATGAGTCCTGTGAGAATGGCGAGCCCACGGTGCGTCAAGTGCTTTCACCCAGGACCAGCTGCAGTTTATCCTGAGTCCGGGTGCGCGGGCTGGAGGGTCCCTGCTTGGTATTAGAAAGGCGAGGCGTCCTCCTGCAGTCTCCTTAGTGGTTCGCCTAGGATGCGCATCACAGTCTGGCTCAATGCTTCCTCGGGATTAAAACGGTTGTCTTCACTTCCTGCATTTGTGCAGAGGAGTTTCTGGGTTGGCAGATTTTGTTTTTACTATTTTCCCCACCAGCTTTTAAGAACCAATTAGGCCAGAGAACTGTTGCATTATTTCAGCCCAAAATAGTGAGAACCCATTGTGCTTATGGTCTCCTTTTCGAGGATGGACATTTGTCCCTAACTCTAAACGTGATCTTCTCGGACAGGCACAGTCACAGGTGGTTCCTTTCAGTTGGTGTGCGCTGTCTTTTTGCAGTTTGGGCACATTACTTGTGCGATCTGGAAAAGCTACGGTTTCTGTCTTCTTTCCCTTCCTTGGAGAGCATCGCTGGACAACTGCTGTAGCCTAGCCTTTGAGAAACTTCTGCAGGACACACCCTTCTTCGGTTTGTCAGAACATTGGTCCCAACCGAAGGCTCTGAGGAAGAGAGAACCTGGGCTCCCGGGACCAACCACACAACCGGCTGCTAGAAGCCGAAAGGGACCGGAGACAAATGCGAAACCGAGCGCGGGGTTTGCAGCGGCCAGGGCTCTTAGCACAGCAACTCTTAACCGCAGGACGAGGCAGAGACCTTTGCATCATTCCCTAAGTCCGGCGGCGCGCAGACTTTTGGGAAATAGAGTCCGAGCAGGGATCCCGCAGGCTTCCGGCAGCGTCCTGCGCATGTGCAGTTCTCCCTGCGTGCGTGTTCACGCATGCGCCTCGCCGCGGCATCGCCCTGGCTTCCTGTCCGTCCAGGTGACCGCCGCCCTGGTTTTCTGTCTGGGGCCTCTGGTGACCAGGACCGCGGAGTCTGTGGGGTGATCGCCGAAGGGCGCAGGCTGTGTGTCCCGGAGTCCCCCCTGGATTGACCGCTACCTCGAGGACCGAGCTCGCGGCGGAGGGCCCGAGGATCAAGCAGCAGCAGTGGCGGCAGAGGGGCTGCGCGACCCGGGCCGGCGCTCCGCGGCACGGTGAGTCCTAAGGGGCGGATCTGGGTCCCGGAGGGAGGCGCGGCCCGAGGTTGTGCGTTAGGTCCAGCCCCGACTCCTTAGTAGCAGAAAGGCCTGGCGAGGGCGAGGGCGGACATCCCGGAGCTGCAGAGACCCACGGGAACCGCCCGCGCCCGGGGTCGATGCTGTGCAGCTCTAGGAGGGACAAGACGCTCGGTGGGTGGGTCTTTGAGGACAGTGTACCTGAGGAGGAGTGGACACCGGCCTCATCTGGGATTTCTGGCTGCACTCCTTTCTCCACCCCGACTCCCTTTCCTCCTCCTCCTCGTAGTGCTCCAGATGTCTCTAAAGGTCCATCAGCAACGCTGTTCCTTACCGTTTGCCTCTTAGTTCTGCCTTTGTCGAGTCATGCAGTGTGGATCCAGGAAAGCCTTTTACTGCCTCGTTTGATAGAGGAGGACATGGTGGATGATTTGACAAAGGTTACCCAGGTGTTTTTAGGCACTTCTAGGCCTGGTTCCTTCTACTGTATTACATATAAGTTACTACATTTCTTAATAGGATATCTTTTTGAGCAGGCCACTCACATTTGTATGATTAAAGTCCCAACCATGGTGACTGTAAGTCAGAGAATTTCATGAATTTTCTGATCTTCAGTAGTTTGAAAAGTAAGAAAGTAAATGAGTTTTCTGTAGCAGAATTCCTTTTTTTTTTAGCTTACATTTAAGGATAACACATTATTTCAATTAAATTTGACGTTAATTCACACTTATTCACCTCTAATTATGTGTGGGTTGCGAACATATAGGTAGGCACCATCCTGAGTATTTTCCAATTTTCCAATCCCTTCTGAAAAGGCCTAATGAGACAGTCTTCCATATTGTGTCCTCAGAACTTTCTGGGTAGGTTTTTATGCAGGAGATTCCTGCTGTGACAGGTCAGATAACTTATAATGACGCTGCTTGCATTTTTCTTTCCCAGATCCGCCTCTGCTTTCACAATTCTCCATATTTTTCCAAGAGCAGCAGAACATGAGTAAATCCCTGGTGAGTTTTTCTGTTCATGTGTTTATTCTGTCCTGAGGCAATAAGAGTTCCAACTTCAAAACATGAAAATAGAAAGAGTCAAGATATAATCAAAATGGTAGCAATCAGCACTCAGCAGATTTTCTATATTCATATGTATAAATAGCATGATCCCTAAAGAGTTCTTAAAACCATAGTACATGTATGTCTCCGATTTTTGGCAAAAAAGTATAAATATCGTACATTCCTTGACTTACATTGACCATAAATGATATGTTTCCTTTCTCGTGGATTTTAAAAATTTCTTTGATGTAATTGTGAATAGCCTTCCCAAATAATAACCTGTAAGCTGCTGCCACTGATACCTTACTTTTCTGTCATGTGAGCAGACAGCATAGTGCCCAGGAAGGACTCAGCACACACGATCTTTCTGGTGACTAAAACTTTGCCATATGGACATTTTGCTCCATGCAGGGATAAAGCCTGGATTAGCTGGAGGAATGGCTTCACCCTTAAGTGAGTCTAAGCAGTTCTTTCTGCAGGTTGGTCTGGGTTGCACAGCAGACAATGCAGTAGAAATCCCTGGCAGAGGTGTCCTCGTTTCCCATTCCCATTTTATCCTGCCTCCCACTGTCTCCATTCTGTGCCTGACACTTCCCTCATCCTGTTCTGGTGAAGGTTGCCAGTGACCTAATGTACACTGGGTATTTCTAACATGCACACCCAGGGCTAATAGCCCATCGTTGTCTTAGACACTCTGCAGTCTCCCCTGTCATTTTTTATTCCATTTCTTTTGTTGCCCTCTTTTTGAATCTGAGGAGTTCTCCTGCTCTCTTCACATATTTTTCTTTTGCCTATAGCTCATGACTCTCCTTACTCCTGTCTAATCTCACCGTCCAGTGCTTTAACCTTGAGTCCATGTTGCTTCCCCAAAGGGATCAGATGCCTCTGTCCAGTTGCCTTTAGAGAATCTCCAAGGGGTGTGTCCAGAGGGTACCTCAAGCTTATAGATGCAGTGGATCCCCAAATCATCAATTTTGCCCCCTGCCCACCTATGTCTCCTATTCTTGCCCCTACTTGTTCATTGAGGCATTGTCCAATCTGTGACCCTGTCCAGAAAAAAATGGGATCCTTTAAATTTCTCCATCTCTGTTGCCATGTGCAGTTGTTCCAGCATGTTAATTTCGTATTCTAAGATTTTTATCCTTTCCCCTTACTCTCTCCCTGCCACCGTTGTTATCACATTTTGCGGGAGGATGTTTTTGTACTCTTGGAGAAACTCCCTTTCTCTGCTTCTACTTCTTTCCTTCACTAGCTCAAATGCACTTTCTGCCTTGAGAATTTCTCCTGAAACTTTAATTTGATCAGGCTGTGTGCATGTGGAAAGCTCTTCAGAGGCTCCCTGAGTGACTAGGAAAACAAGGTTTCTGTTAAATTGGAAATGGAGAGATGGTGGGAAAATCAGGTTTGAGAAAATTAGGTTTTAGCCATTTTTAGTTGGTTCTGTTAACATGAGGTAAAGTGGTGATAGCAAGAGTGCAGGACATGTGTTGGGACTTCAGGAGACAGACTAGACTGGGAATCAGCATGGAAAACTGTGTTGGGAGGTAGACAAGGGGGTGAGTCCAGGACTCTCCCACATGCAAAGTCTGCTACCAAAGGAGGGACTGGGTGGGGCAAGAGTGAGAACTGGGAGCACGAGGTTTCAGAAACCAAGGAAATGAAAGGTTTGAGTGTGGAGGAGCAACTATGTCAAATGCTATTCATAGTTAAGCCTAAAGACAGAACTGGCCATGGGATTCAATTCTGGGGAGATCCTCGGACTCCTTGAGGATTTGTTTAGCTAGATCTGATTTGATTTAAGAGAGAGTGGTAGATTTGGTATATTCCTGGTTTTTTTTTGTTTGTTTGTTTTTTGTTTTGTTTTGTTTTTTGAGTGGGGAATTTGGACCCAAAATTTTGGGGGGAAAAGAGAAATTGGCCAGTAACTAGAGTAGGAGTTGAGGTCAAAATAGGATTTTTGTTTTGTTTTGATGGGAGGAATAAAAAAGGGTATGATCCACTAAAAAAGGAAAACCTTTGATGCATGTAGGAGAGGGGTGCACGGCTGGATGGTGGGGGGTCCTTGAGTCAGTGAGAGGGGACACGTTGCAGGCTTGGGCTGCAGATGTTCTGGGTGTTGTTCAGTGGTGGGGGTAGGATGTGACATTCCTGTGTGCTTCTTTCTGTCTTCTAGGAATTAGCTCATGAGGCTAAGGTTTAGGGGGAGAGCAGTCCCAGACTGAGGGAGCACACAGGGTCAGCCATCTGACTTCCTGGTATCTTCCTTTGCCGGAAAAGTCATTTCATTTCTTACAGTGTGGATGTAGTGTGGTCTTTGGGTGCTCCTGTCATTGCCTGATGCTTCTCAGCTGGATGCTGTGGAGACCAGTCCTGCCCCCACAGACACTTTTCTCTCCTCTGTTTCCTGAAGGATTTCCAAAGGCAGCTTCCTGCTTACTTAGGCTTGCTTTTCTGGCCCTTTTCCTCATCTAGTATTTTGTCTCTTGACTTCAGCTTTGGGGATGGGGTAATAAGAGGCACTTCTTAGCCTTGAGGAGCCCAGATGCTCCTTTGAGGAACAATCCATAGAGTAACTGGTAGCAGTAAAAGGGGTCTGTACTCAATGCCTGGGAAACTGAAGTGATGGCAAAGCAGAAGTCATGTTTATTGTGTTGTCAAGGTGCCATTTCTGTTATTCACTGAGGGGAAAGGCTCGGGATGAGGAGGAATTTCTGTGGTGGTAGTGTGATCGGGCTTTGAGGAGTCATAGAGGTCAGTCAAGGGGTTTAGGAGACTGCATGGGTGCCCTGAGCAAGGCTTCCAGAGGACCAGTAACAAGTTTCACTTCCAGAGCCAAGAATGAAGGTAAATACTGAGACTGATGAAAGACCTAACAGTGCTGTACCAGGTTTGGGTTTCATCCTTCATAGAATTTGAAACCTTTTAATTGGGAAAGTGAGTCGTCTGATAAAAGGATGTAACAAATAGGCTGAGATGTGTAAAGGATGCCATGAGGGGGTTCTGGGGGCGCTGCACAAGGGGGCTCGGGTTTCCAACTAAAGTGCCAGATGGGGAATGTGACGGTGTTTCCATGACCCGGACCCAGGTATGTCAGTCTGCTGATGTTTTTCTTAATCATGAATGGGGTTATACATTTGTTATAGCTGATGATTTAGTATCAATACTTTATTATTTCCTAAAATGAGCCAGCTGCAGTGCTGTGGTGCAGGCCTGTAGTCCCAGTTATCCCAGAGGCTTCTGGTTCAGATTTTGACAAAATGTATAATGTGGTATCCACTGACTACCGTCAGGTTCATGCAGAGCAGTTACAGTGTCCTAAAATCCTATGCCCCATGTTGTCTCTTGCTTAGTCCTACCGTCAACTCCTGTTAACCACTAATCTTTTTACTGTTTCTATGTTGTTGTCCCTTCTGGACTGTCAAATCATGGAACTATACAGGAGCCTTTTCACACTTGCCCATTTATGTAAAATGCCTACTCATAACATCCATGCAGATCTTTCTATTATGAAATTACTTTATTTTGCTTTTTTCTTGTTTACTGAGTACTCTTGAGCATTTTTAAATTTTTCTAGTTTGGTCATGTTGGTAAACATTTTCTTCCAAGTTGATCATCTTTATATTTCATTTTCCAGCATTACCATATATTCTGAAATATTTTCATTTTGAGAAATGGAGTATTTCACCTTTTTTAACATTTCTCAGAATGAGAAAGCTTGCATGGATGGGCTTCCCAGATCCAGAGCATCCTATCCTTCAGTGTTCCAGTGCAGGATCTTAAACAGGTGACATTAGTGGTGGGAGTGGGAGGGGTTTGTCCTCTGGTTCTCATTTCTGGGAATCTTGACCTTCCCTCCCTTTCAGTGCTGCATGTGACATGTTCCTTGGTTGGGGTGTAGGTGCATACTGATGGACTCACTCTTGAGTCTGTAAAACTGAGAATGTTTGGCATGATGTACAAGAGCACTCTTGTTGGTTGGGCAGACCCCAGTTTGCAGTCCTTTGGCCTTGGGAGGGTTTAGCTGTTCTCTCCTCATCTGGTTCCCAGTGATGCACATGAGATCACTGACCTTTAGAGGCAACCAAGCTAACAGGCCATTTGTTGAATTCCTCTTGGTCTTTTTCATTTTATGGTCTTGAGGAATATGCATTTTCTCTCATTGTTTACTTAATGGAGTTCCAGTGCTTTACCTTGAACTCCTATCCTCCCCAGCCACTCCCAGAAAGAGTCTCAGAGAGGTAAGAAGAAGGCTCCTTCCCCGCAGCAGTGGAGGACAGCATTGCCTGCACCGAAATCCAACTCTGAGGAAGTTGTCCATTGAGAAGTTCACAAAATTATCCTCACCCTCAGGCCCATTGCTTTGGCTTTGGTGAAA